TCCTCTACTCTTTTGAATGAATCTCTATAATTAAATAAAATCAGTAATATAATGAATATCCATTACATTAAAGTTTCCGATTTTATTTCTATATTTAGGATATAACAAAAAAAAAGCGAATAATAATTTAAAATTCGAAATATTTTTAATTTTATCATAAAAAAAAACCAACAAATAAACTTACATCGTGGACATGGTCGAATCAGTCCTCCATTCGAATTGGATTTTATAAGCATTTGAAGTGTAGGATCTTGAGCAGCACGTTGACTTGATGCAAGTTCACATGTTAAATTTGGATGCCAAATTTGTGAACAACGTTGACAAAATGGTCTTTTACAGACTAGACAATCAAATTTATTTGCTTTACGTGTATTGTCAACCAAAACAGCAAAATTACAATTTGGATAACTAAATTTACAAAAGATTTATTTTTGTTTAATTTTTTATTTATTAAAAATAAACAAAACAAAACAAAACAAAAAAAGAATTATATACTTACGGACACCATCTTGTATCAGGCATTTTTTGTAAGACACGTCTTAACATAAATGTTTCATAACGTTCATACATTTGTTGATCATTTAAAATTCGTTTTATATCATTTGGATGAAGAATTTCTTTACAATCACTATGTGGACATTCTACTAATGATAAACAACCATTATGTATTTTGTCAAGTAAATATATATGTAAACATGAATAACAAAAATTATGTTTACATGTTCGTAAATTTTCACATTCATTTGTTGAATAACATATTTCACATTCATTTGTATTATTATTTAAATTTGTTATTGTTGTTATCATTGAATTAATATAATTATCATCATTTGTATTTGTTGAATTAATATCATGTATAGCTGGTAAAATAGGTGTTGATGTTGATGTTATTTGTACAAATGAATTCATATTAAAATTAGTTGACATACGACGAAAAAATGTTTGTGGTAATATTTCATCTGTATTTGATATTGTACTAGATGGACTTGTTATACGTTTAATAACATCACTTGCACGTATATCAATTGATGATGATGAATTTGATGCTTGAGAATTTGTACGTTGTTTTATATTTTGTGATGATCCTAACTCATCATCATGTGATGATAAATTTAGAATAGTATGTCCTTTTTGATTATCATTTGTTGAAGAATTATGTTCAGTTATTGGATGAATTCGATGATGTTTTCTTGTATTTGATGAATTTGCTTCACCAACATACATCGTTGAAGTTTACAATTTTTTGAAATATATATTGATGGATTTAATTCTACTTGACAAAAGTAAATGAAACTGAATGCATTCTATTTGCGTGTCACTCTAAAAAAGAAAGAAAAGAAAGAAAAGAGAAGAAAAATAACAGATTCTCAGTTTGCCTCAAACTGCATGCGCATGATGATGGAGAACAGATCTCGTAAAAGTATCGAAACATTATTTTTTTTTTACCTGCATCGGACAATTTTATTTATATAACACGAGAACAAGATACAATTTTCTTTTTTTACATTCTATGTCTCATTCAAATATATCAAAATGTAAATAGGTCACCTCACCAAACATGCGTATATAATCAATTGATTGTCATATATTGATGATAAATATTAACAAAATCCATCTGACATTCTTTGTTTTTTCTTTTCATTGAAATTAAATATAAAAAAAATATTTGTTATTTTCTTGACAATAATATAATTATAGTCTTCCTACTTTTTGTTTATCACCTTTACATTAAACTAACAATGAAACAAAACAAAAAAAGAACTAATCTCGTTGAAAAAAAAAGCGCGCATATAAATATTCAAAGAAAAAAAAAGTAAACGAGTTCTAGCTGATTCATGTATGTATATACTTTTATTGCTGTTTTTTCTTTTTTTTTTGTTAGTCGTTTTTTTACCTAAGTAGTATTTACTTAAGTCATTGCCTTACGAATCGACACATACACACAGAATGATTAGACGGCTAACGTAGATAAACGATTTATGAGAATGTGTGTAATTTAGGCTTTATTTATAATATTCCTTAGGTCTTTTTTTTTGCTTTCATTCTTATTGTTTGATTGTCTATCCTAATATAGTCAAGGAAAAGAGACATCTCAAATAAATATGTCTAGTCTTAAATATATATTCTCATCATTAGTATCATCTTGTTCTTTCCGATTGAATGAAGGAGAAATGTTAACTTGATTAGGTGAAGGTTACTATCCCAAGGATGTTATCGCTAATATATGCGTAATTTCCTCGATTGATGTTTAGGATTTGACCAGAAAAATGTAACTCATTATTATTTCATGGACATTCTTGCGTAACCTATGATTTCTTTTATCGATCGCGATTTTATTAGTTGGGTACGGTATATTAAACGAAAAAGCAAAAGAAAACAAATAGAATATTTTTCACGCTTAATAAAAGCATTTCTATTTTTAATCATAATTTAATATTTAAAAAAAAAACTGAAAACAAATTCAACCAGTTTTTTCATATTATCCTACAATTATTTATAACTATATATATATATATACTGACAAAAAACGATTCAAAAACAATCTATAGAAAATTTTTTCTAGTTTTAACAAATAAAAAAGATATCTTTAAGAAGATTTTGTTCTTCGGAATCTGCTAGAGCATTCATGGAATTTTTATTAATTTGAGGTTTATTATTTATTGGTAATTTTTTTGGTATTTGTTCATGATATGATTCATTTAAAGATAATATTAATAGATCTTCATCATTATTATCAATTTCATATCGTTGAGTTTGAATTGGACGATTAGCTTGTTTATCAGAACTTCTAAAAACAAACCACAAAATTCTTTTGTTTTTATTATTTTAGTTTTAAATTTCATTTAAAATATTTGTTACTTGACAATGAATTTTGTTGTTTGTCTAACAGGTGATGTACCACATTCGACAACAGCTGTTTTTATTTCATGCTTTATTGGTGATGTAGCACGTGTTGTTGTTTGAATAGCTAAATTTGATGAAGATTTAGTTGTTTGTTCAATTGAAGAATTTATATTTCTTTGTTGAAATTCTTTTTCAAGTATTTGTTGCTAAAAAAAAAGCACAAAGAAAACTTTTTCTTTTTATTATTTACTACAAAAAAAAAATTTGATTCAAGACTTGTTTATGAAGTAATTCTAATTGTTTTTCCATCATTAATTGTTTTAATTGAAATTGTTCATTTATTATTGAATTTGCTGTACGAGATGGTTGAATTAAATCATTTTCATGTTGAATACGTGTCATTGTTGAAGATTCTTTCAATGGTAAATTAATTGGTGTTGATGACTAAACAAATAATAAAATTAAGATTTGAAATTATAATGAAAAAAAATAAATAAATAAAATTTCTACTCGTTGAGGATTTGGAAATTCATTTGTTGGTGGTTTTAATAATAATTGAGGTTTTTTTTCATATTCATATAACATCCTTTTTGTTTCATTATAACGTGTAAGAAGTTCTAAATAAAAGAAAAAGAAATTTAAAAAAACAAAATTTAAGACAAAAGAATTTTACTTTGATTATCTTTCATTAATTTATCATAATCAGTTAATAATGTTTTCATTTGTACTTCAAATAATTTTCGTTCTTGTTCAAGTTTATTTTCTGTAAGTTCTTTTTCATGATTTATACTAAAAAAAACAAAATCAAATGAAATTATCTATGAAAAATAAATTAGAAATATATACCGTGCAAGTTCTTTTATTAAATTAGCAATTTTTAATTTATCTTCAGCACTTAATTCTTTAATACCTTTGGAAGATTGAATTGATGTATCAATTGAACTAGTCGAAACAGGTTGATCAACAAATCGAACAGCATTTGGTGCACTTGGAACCTATGTAAAATATGAAATACGATTAAATGATTTGAATTTCAGGAGAAAAATTAGATGATATTCGAGTTTCATTTGACTGTGAGGCTTCGAATGTCGATAGTTGGAAAAATCGATATCTCATTAGACAAAAAAAAAACGAATAACTGTTTCTACAACGCTTTTCATCATACTTTTATGGAATAAATTGTTTTCTTTTTCGTCACGATAAATCAAGAAATCGATCTTTCTATCAAAAGCTGAATGAAGATGAAAAATGGTCATTGTAAAATTCCTTATTAAGAGACAGAAATAGCTCGATTGGGTGAATATGTGACATCCCTCAATCAAGACGATCTTTTGTTTTTTTTTTGAACAGAACCAAATATTCTTCGTACGTTCTCTTAGACAAAAAAATCTTTACACTCTTTTTCTCCTAATGTTGGCTGTCTTGAGTTAGTCCTTATGTTATGCTTCGCATCATATTAAAAATTATCTCAGACTGATTTATTTACTGAAGTGTTGGAACAAAGACAAACAAAAACGAATTTTCTGTATGAATGATACTCTTATTCATTGATGAATATTGTTCAAACTTAAGTATAAATTGTTTTACTACTCGTGAATTAAAAATGTTTCATTGTTCTATGAAAATTATAAAGAAACTAATGGAAGAGAATAAGATTTTTTTTTTTTTTATAAAAAATAACACCATATTCATAATTAACAAAAGACCTTCTTGACAAAATTACATAATTATATGTCACTTTTATGCTATTTGTAACTATATCAAAATGACAAGAACAGACATAGAGAAAAAACGTTTTTGAAATTGATTAATTAACCTTTGTTCGTGCTTTGTTTACTACAGATGGTGCAGTAACTTTATTTGTTTTTATTGTTGGTATTTGTGGATGTTGTGCTATTGGCTTTTGAATCGTTGAATTTTGTTCTATATAAGAAAAAAAAATAGAATATTAAATAAATTCAGCTATAATTACCAGCTGCATTTAACCAACGTATTCTAACCGGCTCTTCACTAGGTGGTACAATATTCTCTTCAGTCATAATTTTATCTAAAATTTTATATGCAGAAAAAAAAGAATCATCAGCAAATCATGTTTAATATCGAATTGTTTTCTTAATTAGATAGATTTAAAAAAAAAAAGAACGTCATCATGTGATTTAATGTTCGATTGAATCGTAAACTTGTTTAAAATTCTTGTAAAATCCCTAAAATAAATCGAAAAATATAAATCAAAATATGTTTTATATAATAATTTACGTTAAAAAAAACTAAATAATGTTCTAATGCTTGTGTTGATGTCATTTCACGTATTGAATGCATTGATAATTGTGGCGCACCAACATCAACTGTATACATTCCAAGACGAGAAGCAAGTATTGGACCAACAGTTGTACCACATGGCATATCATTTCTCATACAAAATTCCTTGACAAAAAAAAAAAAAAAAATTAAAGTTATTAAAAAAATGACATTTAGAAAATAACTTAAAAAAAGAACACACCTGTAATGGAACATTGCTTAAACGAGCAATTTCTTTAATTAATGTTGCTGTAAATGCTGTTGTTGCATAACGATTACAACAATTTGTTTTAACAACAACTCCACCATTTAATAATGATGGTCTATGATCACGATCATGAAGAGAACTATAATTTGGATGGACACCATCTTGTTTTTTTTGTAAAAGAAAAGACAATATTTATTTATTTATTTTTCTTTGATTAATATACGTACGAGCCATATCAGCTGAAACAAGAAATGAATTTGACACTGAACGTTCATATTCAGCACGTGTCATTCGACGTAATGTATGTTGAGTAAATTCGCTCATAGCACCTTGAGCACTTTCAGAACCAATCTAAATTTTTATAAAATCATATAAATCCTCTCTGCACAGAATAGAAGTCCAGCGAGCTTCTCATTTGTTTTGATAGTCAAAGGTTTGAAGGTGGACTACTATTATGGCTACATTTTTTTTTGTGTTGTAGTTATGTTATCATTAGCTTATGAGTATTTAGGATATCTATAATAGTTTCTGTGGAATCAGAGATTGACTATTAGTTCTGTTCCGATTTCATACTATTAAGTAGATCACATAATGAATTCTTTACACTACTTTTCACGTTCACAGGCTCATTTATCTGCTATACTCGGTAGATTTTGGTGTATATATACGAACAGTTATGGTTAATGCAATATTTTAACTAAGAAATTGCCAAGCTCTAGCGAAGTTATATCTTTAAGTAGTACGTATGCATGCGCATTTTTCAAATCAGAAAAAAAATTGATTAATCTGTTGCTAGAAATTATATACAACAAAAAAGAAATTAAGCCCATAAACAGAGCTATAATTCAATATTGAGAAGCAATGAGCTAATCTATCCATTTTAAGATTTACGAAGGAATCATCCCAAGTGACAATCACCGTTTGAGCTCATATGGAATCTACAGGCAAGTCTTAATGACAATAGCAAACGCCTAGAAGAGTTCATTCCAATGGACCTTTGGCACCGATTATAACTAGTTTACTAGATTTTTGATCCAATTTTAGGTACTCCTCGGAAGATCTTATAACAGAATTTGAATCCAAAATTTTGCTTATAGATAGATTTAATGACTTTTAGAATACCCTGAAAGTTTCAAATGAAAAGAATGTTCTTTCATCAAGATATTGAATTTCCAAAAATATCCGTTTGCAACAGACATATCACAAAAGTCGAGTTTACTTGGAACTTCAATAACTCGACGAAAGAACATTCTTTTCGGCTGAAACTTTCAGCATATCCTAAAAGCCGTTAGACCTAGCTATAGGCAAAATTTTAAATCGAAAATCCAGTAAACTGGTCATAACTCGGCACCAAGGATCCATTGGGACGAACTCTTTTAGGATTTTGCTATTCTTACTAAAATCTGTCTATAGGTCCGATATGAATTCAAACGATCAATGTCATTTGAGGCACTTTCCTCGTTAGTACATGAAATATTCAATAAAAAAAGTTCATCATTAAATTTCTTATATAAAAAAAAAGATGATCTTATCAAATATGATTTCATTCCTATCTCAATAAATTATATTAACCTCTTCATTATCATATAATAAAGCTCCACGAATAAATGTTTCATCTGGAAGCGTATCAAGTGTATTGACAAGACCCTAGAAATAAAAAAGAAACAAAAATTACAATTTATAATAAATCGATTAATTTCAAATTTTACTTGAATTGCACAATATGCACTCATTTGATTATCAAGTCGTCCAGAATAAATAAATTCATTTTTAAGACCACCAACACATGATGGTTGAGTATCAGCAAGCATTAAATCAAAATTAATAATATCATCTGCTTGACAATTACATTCATTAGCAAGTAATTCTAATAATTGACTATGATGTTTTTTTGACTAAAATTTTTCAAGAAAAATGATTTTAATTTAAATGAAAATTTTACTTTTTCATATATTTACTTCATCGATTAATTTTTTATTTGTATCCGATGTTGTCTCTTTTTCTTTTGTTGATTTATTTAGTTCTTCTTCAGTTTTTAATGATAATACAGCTTGTCTAAATGAAGATTTTTATTTTTGTTTTGTTTTTAAGAAAATATTTTTATTAAATTCATATCATACAAATGATCTTGTTTATTGATTTCTAATTTTTCATTAGTATCACGTTTAAGATGAATAGCAATAGTTGGTATACGAAGTATAGGTCGATTTATATGTACCAAATGTTGATTAATTTTACCATTTTGTTTCTTTATTTAAACAAAAAAAGAATCATAAAGAATTGATCATAAATTCTTATACAAACTCGAAAGAAAACTCGTCCAGCTAATGTTAAATCTCGATCAAACCACGTATGCCAAATACCACCACCATAACATTCAACATTGACTTGTAAATAACCACTCTCTTCTCGTTTTGATACAGGTTTTACCTATAAGATAAAATAATTTTAAGTTCAAATGAGAAATTGTAAGAGTATAAAATCGTAATGCTGAAATTTTTGAACAAAAAGAGTTTACTTTCATCGGACAGCCTATCTACAGTTTAATTTATAAACATATTTGAGATTTTAGATCAGAAAACTTAGAGAAATTGATGTAAAGACTTACATTGAAATGAACTAAATTCCTACTAATAAATTAGGATCGAAATTAAAAGATTTTGAATAATAAATTTTATTTTCTGATATTAATTGTACAAAGTGATGTCTCTTTTTATCCTAAGATCAGGAAAATGGTCGATATTAATCTGGAGTGAATTATAAGATGATGAAATCATGCTATTAGTTAATTTGTCTTGAGATTCAGATGAGAAATTTTGATTAACAAATGCAGAACAATTTATAAGTGCGCTAACAGACAAAAGAATATGCCTCTCAACAAATATTGAACTTCGATCGATCTTAAAAATTCATTTCAGTTAAGTAAATCATCTAATAGATGAACTGATTGCTTTCCGTTGTTCAATTGTAACTTCTTCGATGTAGCTAACTTCGTTTATTTTACATATTTTCTATAAACGAACAAATGAATTCCTTTTGTGAGTCGAAAAATGTGTACTCATAGATATTAATGAAACACAACTGTTTAGAAAATGGCGAATACGAAATAGGCATGCTTTAATTTTGTTCTATTGAACGTCTTCCTATTATGGAATTATACACAATCTAGAAAAAATTTTTAACTGAAAAATGAGACATTTTGCACAAATGAACGATGATTGCTTGAAATTGCACGAGAATTTATCGGACTCGAAAACAAGTGCTAGTATGAGATGAGTACGATATTCATTATTGAAACATTACCTATTTCATAAAATTGAGAAATCCTCACTTGGAAGTAAACAGTTTACTTTATACTTCTTTCAAGATAATTGAAATATATCTTCGTGCGTTTCTGAACTGTACATAAACTTTTAACATGACATCACTTGGCAGAGATGTACAGAAATTTTTTCTCAATCCCTCCAAAGCTCAATAGTTTCTCAAACCAAAGTATCGTAATAAAAGCGATTTAACATATCTATTTTAAGATCCACGAAATGCTGATAACAAATGAACATATGAATGAGAAAAGTATACAAGTCAATTTTTTTCATTCCATCGGTAACTATCAAAGTTTTCATACAGTTTGAAAATTTCAATTTATCGAATCTTGTGCACTTCTATGCTTGTAAGCAAATCAAATCATAGTTACAACATAAAACAAATATTGATCATAATAAAATCTGTCCTATATATATTATTTCTGCATGTAATAACTTTCAATCATATAAGTAATATTCGAAGCATTAAATTACATACTCGAAGATGTGGTGAATCAGTATGTGTTGCTGCTAAAGCAAAACCATTGCCATTTGTATATTTTCCACCAACAGCAAATGCCGCAATACATGAACCATTTTTAATAACAAAATACTAAATAAATTTAATTTAATTTAATATTATTTTTTTTCTTTGTTTTATTACTTTTCCCAAAGGTTCAATATTCCATTGTTCATTTTCTCGTAATTCTTTAAAACCTGTTGAAGTTAATATTGTTTTAACATTATCAACACCTTCAAAATATTGAATAATAATATTAGAATAAAAATAAAACAACGAATTTCTATTAATAAAAGCAAAACTTACAATGAAATGCTGTTGGACTTTTATTAATAAAATTAATAAATCCTTCAACATTTTTTGATATTGAACCGGCTAATGTTGTCATCTAAAAATTAATAGAATTTATTTTCTTCAATTCTATACCACATACCCTTCGAATAAAAAAACTATAACGAGGAAAATTATTGAAAATGATTGACATCTTAAAATTGAAAGAAAAAAAAAATAAGAACAGAAAATAACTATTTTCATAATAAGATAAATATATATATATATTCATTGTCTTCTTCAATCCACATTAGTCAGTTATAATAAGAAACACCAGCAGATAACAATAATTAGATAACTTAATTTTTAAAAAAAAAAACAAAAACAAAAGAACAATTACTAACTCCATGTTTTTTTTTCATTTATATATAAACTGAAGTTTGAATTCAATTAAAATAATTTCAATTGAAATCAATTTTCAAGTTTTTATGTAACTGATTTTGTTATAGTTAACAAAAAAAAAACATTAACAAATGAGATAACAAATAAGAGAAGTTTAAATAATCTCGCAAAACTGCACAAAAATAATAATAATAATAATAATGCTAATAATAAATTTCTGTCCAAACCCATTTTTGAGATTCTTTTTTTTCATTGCATTCACTTAATTTTAAATCATTGCCATTAGTTTCCATACATAGATGTTCTTTATTGCTTCGAATTTGTTTTGTTGACTAAAGAAACAGAAAAATAATTTTAAGAATTCTTTTTAAAAAAATATCTTTTTCTTTTGTTTTTTCATTCATTACCTTATCATATTGCCATTCACCAACTGGATTCCATCGACCATGATGATCCAAACAAAATTTTTTTTTGACTATATCATGATCAGATATAAAACAATGTTCACCGGATGATATTTCACCATCTTCATTTAAACGCCAAACTTGCTAAACAAAAAAATTTTATATAAAATATTTGAATAGAATATGTTAAAATTATAATGTAAGAATAAAAAATAATAATAAAATACGTAAGAGACAATGGTCGTCTTACTTTTGATATATCTACGTATTAACATAAAGCTTTCTGTGAAAGGGACTGAGGTGGACTATCCTCTCTCGTTTTTTGCGTTGTTTTCGGAAAATTGTCTGTCAAGTTTTTAGCCCCTTTTTCTTCGAAAAACTATCGAGAATCTTTTTAAACTTCTTTATGATGGGATTTATCTTTTTTTTATATTAACACTTAAATAGTTTAAAGTCCTATGATTAATACACAAAAATTTATTTTACAAACTTGAATAAATGTATTACGCAAATAATTGTACAGGTGACTTGGTATTTTTTTTCTTTCTTCACTGTTGTTGGCAAACACTTAATTCCATTGCAAATATTTATAGATTTCAAGTATTAATCCGTAAAATCTTTCTGAGATAAACCTCGAATAACGGTTGCTTTTTCATTTATCTCATTTGCAAATATTTCAGATTACTTATAGTTAATCATCATTCACATCATAAATAACAAGGTCATAAAAAGATCAAATTTCCAAAAATCTAATTGCTCTACTGTTTCATTTAATTTCAAAATTAAATACATCCTTTACCATTAACTGATTTACAGAAATAAAAATTTCTATATCTCAAAAATAAAGTACACTTCATACAGACTCTCAAATATTTTCGTTTTCTATGTCAGTGCATCATTTTTTTAAAAGTTCAATCAAATTTCTATAACCAAAAGAAAAACAAGTTATGATCTGTATGATTTTTTTCTTCAAATAAAGAACTTTAATTCTCTACTAATCTTCTTATACAAAGCAAAAAAACCAATTCTTACTTGTCTATAACAACCACTAACACCAATTGGTTGACCAAATGAAGCTCCTCGATCATTTAAACAAACTGAATGTTGAGCATTTTTACACTAAGAAAAAAAAAATATTTCAAAAATTTTAATCAAAAAAACAAAAAAAAAATTATATATTTCATACTTCTCCCCAAACGATATTTTTTGGTGGTGGTGGAAATTTTTGTAAAACATCATAAGCAATATTTTCCATAAACCATTTAAATGGTTTACATTGTAATTTATTTCTTAATTGTTTACGTTCTGATATATCACCAATATCTAATTTACGAATAGCTGGTTCACGTATATAATAATATTCAGTAAATTCATCCATCCATACTTCAGCTAAACGCATATGATTTATAGATGTTTGATGTGGACTTGCATCAGGTACATGAACTGAATGACTTCGTGGACCACGATATGCATGTGCAACATGAGAACATGGGACCCATTCAACAACACCACCACATTGCCAAACTTTAAATGATAATTCATATCTAGAAAATAAAATAAAAAGATTTTTTTTTTTTGTTTTTTCTTTGTATAAAAAATTTTCTAATTAAAACTAAACATACTGCTCAGCTCCCCATACTTTTATGCCTGGATCATAAGCACCTAATTCAAAAAACCATTGACGATCAATAGCTAATAAACCACCAGCATGTGTTGGTGACCTACAAAAATATATTTATATATATATATTTATTAAAAATTAATAAATTAATTTTCTTATACCAATAAGGTTCGGATGAATGTTTTCTTTTGTTTAATTCTCGTTCTGGTACTTCAGTTTCTTTATATAAAAATCCCCATTCCCAAATTCCTCGAAAAATTGATGAACCATATATATTCATATGTTCTAAAGTTTTCCATTCAATTCCATCAACTATTGGTACAGCTAATGCTTTACGGTTAATTGCAATACGTGTTAATAATGGTGGAAGCCAATTAACAACCTAACAAAAAAAAAACAAAAAGTCTTCAAATATTTTCTTTGAATTATTCATTTTTTTTCCAACATACACATTCACAATGAGCATCAAGTACAACAATAACATCACCAGTCGATTTTTCTGCGCCAAGTGTACGTGCTGCAATTAAACCGATACGTTTTCCTGTTCGATAAAGTTTAACAAGACCATTCCAACGTTTAATATATTTTTCTAATGGTGCAAGTAAAGCAGCTAAATAGAAAAATAATAAATTAATTCTTTATAATATTTATATAAAATTTTTCTTTTTTTTTTTAAATACATACGATCACTACTACCATCATCGATTAGAATTATATCTTTAAGTAGTTCTTTTGGTGATGTATTAATTACACTATGTACAGTACGTAATAAAACACTCCAACCTTCATCAAAAAAAACAAGTATGACAGAAGCTGTTGGTAAATGTTTTACATCAGGATATATCCAATGTTTACATCTATATAGAAAAATTTTATTAAAAAACAAAAGAATTTTTTTTTTGAATAAAATTTTTTGTTTAACTAAATTTGTTCAATCCTCAAGAAAAAAAAACCCTATTTTTTTGCTATTGAAATATAGTCGGTCAAAAATATTTGCTAAAAAAAAGTCTTTTCAACACTATTGATTTATTTTACTCTTCTAGTCTTGTATCTTTAATTTGTCTATCCAGGGATATTTTATCGGAAGCAACCATATTAAAACCATATCGAGTTATTGTTCGTTGTGCTTCTTGTTCTTCTGCAGCAGAAACTATAACAGGGGTACCTATTTAACAAAAACAAAAATAGATCAATTATCTTTAAAATTAAATTTCATTTTACCTCCTTCGCCTGGACCTGATTGTATTTGTCTATCTTTTGGTTCATAATTTCCCAGTGAATCACTCATTATTGGTTGTAAACTATTACTCTTTGTTGGACTTCGAATATTAGAAGATTCTGGATTAGCTTTGTTGCTCTATATGTTCCAAAAATCGGTAAGAAAAATAAGAAAAAAAAAAGTGTTTATGTTTACATCTGAATAATCAACTTTATTTTCTTCATCTGTTGATCGACTAGTACCAGAATCAAGTTTGGACATAAGAAAAGGTATAATAAAAATAAGAAATGCAAGTCCAATAATATAAAGAAATGTACGTCCAAATCGATAACGCATTGTTAAACAAATAATTTATATTTATCTAATTTTCAATACTAATTAATAGATGACGTTTCATTCAATGGTTCTCAAAAAGTTACCACGTCTACCGTTCTCTTATCCATCTGTTGTACACTTTTTTCTTATTGACTACAGATCAAATACGAATAGATGTTGGTTTTAAAAAGAAACAAGAATTTACAAGATGGCGCTAGAAGTTGAAATTTTATTTTAAGATAAGATAAAATATATTTAAAATATACATTATTCTAATTAATAATTAAATGAATCTAAGAAAATAACATATTAGTTATCTTTAGATCGAGATGATTGATAATTCAGGTAAAAACAATTGAATACATTTTTTGCAAGATCGAAAAACTAAAGATTTCATTGTCAATACTTGCAAAACAAATTGAAAATATTGTTGCATTTGTATCATTATTTTAATTTGAGATGATGGATCAAATTGCAATTGACTTTGTGATGAAAAAATTTACCTTAAGAAATGAATCTTTTTGAAAACTTCTGTCTCAAACAACATTAATTCCTATCAATTAAACTAGATTTGCCGTACGTCTAGCTCGTGTCCATCTGAAAACATGATAAAACAATCATGCTTATAAGCGATCGTCAGCGTACTATGATGCATCATCGTATAGAAAAAAACTTCCTTGTTAATATCAACTACGATTTGTTGTTCATATAATAAGTGAATCTATAGTTCTCAACAGATTTATGAAAGACCTCGGATCGATTATATATGTTAAAATATCTTTCAGACGTTTGCATCTGATTGTTAAAAGTCTTAAATGAAATATAGAAAAATCAATTTTAATTTTTTGTTTTAAATAGAAGTAAAACTGTCCATTATCAATATGATAATATTAATTGTATATATTTTTAAGGACATTTAACAATATATATAAATAGAAATTAGCATAACTTTTTAAAATTTGACGTTTTAGTTTGAACTTTAATGTAGTCTGTTTTCGAAATATGTATGAATTCGTACATAGTAATAAAATATAAAGCCGAAAATTTTTGACTGACAATATCAAATAGATAAGATTTCTTTTTTGCTATCAGTAAATAATATTTTGCTTGTAATTGATTAGTTCAGTCTAATGTCACGCTGTTCTTTAAAAACATGAAACTTTTTATTTATACATATATAGAATAATTTTGTTTGAAATTATATTTGATTGTCAATGAAAAATTATCAAAATAATTCGATTGAAAGAAAGATGAATAACTGTTGATTAATTTTTTCTATTTTTTCATTAACAAACACATATTTAACTAAACTGATCTATACACAAAAAATCTAGTTATGAAAGAAAAAAACAACATTCTTTTTGTTTTTACAAGGATACATATAAAATATTCAACAATAATTAACATTGTTTTTCGTTTCGTCTCCTTGACTTTTGTATTACCTTATCATATTTATTTATACGTAAAATTTATTTCATAGCATAGATATGTATATCATCATGTGACCATTGAAAAATAGGTATAAAAGAGGAACATAGAAAGAAAGTAGGGTGTGAATAATTAATGTATACAAGTAAAAAACATAGGTAATATGAAAATATATGAAGCGTAAATAGAAATATTCATCATTTATTAACAAGACTACTGCCTCAAAGTTAATATTTTACATATTTGGAAGTCGATAGAATGTCGTGAGTATGCTGAAATCTATACTAGTTATTGTTGCATAAGTCTTGTATTTTAACAATAAATAACAAAAAATAAAAGAAAGAAAATCTAATTATTTATATATATATATATATTGTAGATTGTATAAATTCGTTTTTATTGATTCAATAAAATGGGCAATGATGTGAAATCACGTCTTCATATGAAAAAACATGAGCGCGGACATAAACATGATGGTGATTCAAGTCAGAATGCAAATTCTGGTCGAAATGAAGTCGATGAAACAATTATGAGTGGTCCCAATCGTGCTCGTGCAATAGATCCAACTGCAGCAGGTACTGGTAACGGATCGGGAACTACTCAAAGTGGCGGCACGTCAACTCCAGTTCATGGGCGTACATAGTTCTTAATATATTCAAAAAATAACTTTCAATGCTCATCGTTCAAGATTATTACTATATAAATAAAAAGCACTTTTTATTGACTTTGATATTGAAATAAAGATCGAAATAATATTAATGTTTAGCTATATAATCATGTGTAGTGATTATTAACTGATCAGAATGAAAAAGAAAATTTGAGGAAAAAAAAAACAGAAAATTTACAAGCCAACTCTAACATTAATTCTCAACAATATTATGTTAGAGTTTTTTTTTTCAAATAATATGTTTGAATATTGTCTTTCATTGTCAAATAATGATTCAAGCTAAGTTTTTCTTTATTAATTTCAATCAAAAATGAATGTATCAAAATGAAAATATTTATAACAAATTGAAACAATTGTTGTTGAATTTTACATATTTTGATAAATCCTTTTATTTACATAATCTCATTTACTTTATATCTTTTAATTGTTCATTGATTTTTGAAATGATTTTTTGTTCTGTTTTGACATACCTTGCCTGAATGTAATCGTGGATATTATTTTATATTTACTGATTAAGTCTATGTGGCTTAGATGTGTAATATTTTCATATTAACTAACTGAACTGCTTTTGATCATTTAGCTTTTTTCAGATGAGCTGAAGTTATTGAACATCTCAGCTTATTCTATTATCTGTTAAGATCTATGACAGTTCCATTATTGTTTTGTACAGTTGAATTGGATTTATCACAAACCTATTAATGTGCTCATCAATTCACCTTCTACAAGAAGAATTAGCCATTGCACTTATCTCTTACAAAAAATAACTATTCATTATTATTTTTTTATTCGACTCTTTCAAATCACTGAACAAAAAACTGTCATATGCCTTATAATAGGAGAAAAAACAAACATTTTAATCTAATGTATTTGAAAAAGTATAATACAATAGAAAACTCTTTCTAGAATATATGGAAGTTTCAACACAAGCGAAGATTCAGATTTTTCTTTTTTGTTTACAAGAGATTTAATTGTTAATAATGATTAATAGATCAATTATCATTTCTAAAAAATTTTTTAAATAATACTGATATGATTCATTATCGTATTGTAAAATATTAACTATGAATGGAAATATTTGGAATACTTTTAAAATGTGATTTCAATTTACAAAACAGTTATTAAGAAGAAAACTATTCAAATCATGCGCCCGTTTTGCTATTATATTATGATAAGCGTTACTTTTATTAATGTGATGTTTTCTTGTTTGATTTACGTCTAAGACATAAATGTGTAAAAAAGAAAAACAAGCACAAAAACCTATCCAATCAATCATAATAAATGACGAAAGCAAAAAAAATATATATATAAGAATCTAATAAAAATATATCAAAATTAATTATATATTTACTAAGTGAAAGCGATTTTGTGTCCTTGACGTTTATTCTTTTATAAATAACTTAATGTGTGACAAAATATACCTTATTTTATTATTTAGTATTTATGCATGAAATGTAAAATTTTAAGTACCTTGAATTAAAAAAAGAAACACCCATATTTTATTTTTGACTTATATAGTTTTTTTTAGAACAAAATACATGGGTAATCGTACGTCTCGTAATACTGTACCAAAAGAACAACATGATTCATACGATACAGCAATACGCTCATCAAATAAAAATTCTGATCGACAATATTTTAATACATACCATACGGATACGCATTATAATATAATTGATAATGTTTTAAATCATCATTTAATTATTATGAATTCAAATGTCAATATACAACAATCAGCTATGAATATTCATCAAGATTCTTTAAAACTAGCAATGAAAAATCATATAAATGCTATAGCTTTAAATACATCGAATTATCAACAATATCACAAAATGATATATACATTGTAAAACAATAATCCATAAGGATATTTTTTTAAATATTGTACTTTTGTATTTATATCTTTAAAAAAATTGAAAATATATAGATTTTGAATTAACTGTTGCTTCTTCTTTTTGTTTTTTTTTTATTCATCCATCATTTGTTTCATTGTACAAGTATTGTATCCTTATAAATCTTTTTGTTTTATTTTTTTTTTATTATTCTTCTACATAATAAATTCTAAAACATAGTTTTATTATATTTTGTCGAACTTTCCTAGTCTAATATTAATCGTATGTTTTTGATTATAAAAATATTCGTTTTAGGTTTTGATGATTGATCCGTGATATACATGACAAGATATTCAAGAAGTGTATCATGCAATTTTACTTTACAAAACATGTCAAATAATCGAAGCTGATGACATTGAATATAACTATCAAATAAATAAGAGAAATTTCTTTCGAGAATCTTCCAAATTGATCGAATAAAAATTTATTGATTTACTCCATTCAGATTATTGAAACTCATTATTTATCTAGAATTCAACGATTTGAAATTCTCAAAATTTTGGAATATTGAGTCGATCAAATTCTTGATTTTTCAAATGATTAATATTAACGATAAAGAAAACTTCAGAATTTTACTCTTGATTTATATAAAAAAAAGTTATCCTAAATCGATATCGATTAATTTCAACAAGTATTCTACTAAGAACGTTACTTATCAATTTAATAATATTTTTCATATTAATTTGTCACGACCTAATAGATATTAAATTGTTAAATATTCATTGTACGAGATTTTATTTATAATGCTCATAATAACGAAATACTTTCTAGAACGTATTTACACGATACAGCTTGTAGTTTACAGAGGAAAGTTTTTCAAACTTGTAATATTATAATGATAGGACTGATTTGAATCACAATATTATTCTTTTCAAGAGCACATATTATTATAGATTTCTTCGATTAAGATGACTCTACAATTATATTTCTTTTTCTTTTTTTGTGATCTAGTCACATTTCATATTCAGAATCCTGATTTAACTAATTTTAAAACTATGATCTATTCGATAGATTATTATCAACATGGAAACTAAATG